CAGAAGATGAGGAGACCCCAAGGAAAAGAAAAATCAAGGTGCCAGTAGAAGGAGGAGAAATAGTTTTGGAGGCAGGTGAATATTCTTTCACTTTTCCAGCGCTGTAAGTTTATAGTATTATAGTGTCCTTTTAAAAATTATTATTGCTTAATAGGGTTAAAAACAGTGTGTCCTTTGCAATGTAAAGAAACTTTATTAGGGGGCCTCCCCTGGTGGCGCAGCGGTTGAGCACTGGGCTGCAAGACTGCCTGCAGCCTCTGCAGCGCCGGTTCATTCCCGGCCGCCGGTGAGGGTCCCACAAAAAAAAAAAAAAAAAAAAACCTTTATTAGGGTCAAAACTGGGGGGCGGGAGGGAATTGTAGGGGGAATATAACCAAAATGCATACATTGTGCAAAAAAATGAAAAATGATGTAAGAATTATATAAAATAAAATATATTAATAAAAAAGGAAAGCCAAAAAAAAAAAAAAAAAGGATCTTTACCAATCTGGATGGATGGGTATTTAACTGACAGACAGAAAATGAGGACAAGCAGTTTAGTTACAGGAACTGAAACAGAGACACAGAGGCAGAAAAAACCAGTGGGAATTATGAATAGGTAAAAAGGCTGGCAATGTAGCTTGGTCAGATTACGGAAAGTTTTAAGAGTGTATTTATGGGGTGTGCGGTTAGTTTTTCAGAATTCATTGCTGTAGTTACTCTCAGGCCTTGAGAAGCTGAAGGCAGTATTTTTCTCCTTTTATATAGAAGTGTATTTTGAAGTAGCATTGTTATAGGACAGGGAGAGGGGCAGCCCAAAACCCCGCAAACCTGCCTATTCTACATGGGTTCTGCCATCCGCCGCATCAGCACAAAACATATAAGACTTTAATGGGAAGGAATTTTAATAAAACTAGGAAACAATACAGGTAAGGCAAAGAGTCTAGTTTCTAAATGAAGCACCCAAAGTGACCCGTCCCCTCGTGGGTAAAAGTCCATCCAAATGGGATTGGCCCAGAGCAAAGCCCCAAAGCCTGCCACAAGTCTAAAGCATCTTCCAGTGGGGACCCACAGCAAAGGGTCAGAAATAACCAGACAAGCCCGGAAGGAAAAGAGCAAAATCAACATCAAGATAAAAACTGCCATTGTCACCTCCCCATGGGTCTCACCCACATCTGTGTCACCCAGTCTACGACCAAAAGACAAGCGCAGTTTCTTCACGTGTCTCTAGGCTCCATGCGCCTCCTCCAGGTCTCCTGGCTCCATCCTGCTTCCTTCCTTCCTCAGTCTCCTCTGCAGCTTCTTCTCTTCCTGCTCAGCTCCACCCTCCCTTGGGTGGGGCAGGGAACCTCCCCCTTTCCTGGGGACCACCCTGTTACAGCATTGCCTACAAATAGTCCAGTGAAACACCCGTGAAGGAAATCATTGCTTTTTTAACATTACATTCGCACACACTTAATAATTGCATGCACTGTATTCATCAGGAGTCATTCCTAATGCCTTTCATTAGTGACCATGCCTGTTGTGATCCTCAGTGACTGACTGATCTGCAGCTGATGCCTGCCCCCCTCCCCTCCTCCCAACTACTGGTCATTGCATCTGTCATGATGTGGAATAGAGTTGGGGTTGAACCTTGTCAAACCATGAGATGAAACCAACCAATCTGTCAGACTAATATCATTCTTGAAACTTAGTACATTCTGCCATACTATATAAAATTTGTATCTAATGCCTGAAGAATTAATGGAGTGAAGAGTAAGTGGAGCTTTAGGTAAGGCAGCATCTTAATCATGTCCTCTGGAGGAGGAGAGGTAGCATGCAAAAAAGTTATTAATTTATGGAGACATTCGGGACATGCTGGTTAATTAAAACAAAGTTAAACAGATTTCTTTTTCTAAAGGAATTATTAGAAGTTTTAACATTATTACATATATGGCTCCTAAGAAAGTTGACCTTACGTCTTTTCTTTTAGAGGAGTATCTCGTATTTTTAGTGGAGGTTCTGTGGACTATACTACAGGAAACACTGGAATATCACTATGTGATCACAGTTCTGCTATAGACTCGTTAGTCTAGAAGCTAAATACACATCATCTCCTAGAGTTATCTGATCTGATCACCTTGCCTCAGACAGTCCGCTTATGCCTATTGCCCCAGCATAATTAATGGCACCCTCTCACTCTCTCAAGTGTCCTGATTTGCACAGTAAAATATGGTCATCTTGTGTATTATATCTAGGTTTTCTTTCTTTTTCCCATTCTCCATTCCCAATTTTATCAAGTTTATTTTTTTTTTTTTTAAATTTATTTATTTATTTATACAAGCACTGGGTACAGTCAGAAGTGCGGGAGGGTGAGAGAATTCACCAGAGCCAGAGCGGGGAGCAGAACAGGCAGACTGACGAAGTACACTGCTGAGGGGGGCAGCGGGCGGCAGGAGAGGTCTGCGCGCCATGTGGGACCCTCACCGGCAGCCGGGTATCGAACTGGCGCTGCAGAGGCTGTGAGCAGCTTCGCAGCCCAGCGCTCAACCACTGCGCCAACGGGGAGGCCCTATCAAGTTTATTTTTTGTAGTGCAGAATTGTAGGTTAAATGGGAATGATCTAAGAAGCCACTTAATCCTGTTTTACACGTAGCAGGATTCAGCCTCTGTCAACTTTTGGCAGTTAACTGATTACCTTGAGAGGTGTTATGTTCCACTATTAGGCATCTCTAAGTTTTACCAAAATCCTTCTTACTGTTAACCTTAACCTTTACTTAAACCTAATTTTAGTATTCTTTTGTAGTCTAAAACTCATAGCATATAGATTTGGTATTCATTTCTCAACCATGGGTTTCCGTAATGCCAGCGTAAGGCATCCATCATAAATTATGAATTATTTTCTTTTTCAATCTCTAGAATAGTGTTAGTTTTATACTATCCTCGGCAGAATTGAGGATATGGTCGGTTTTGTAAGAAACCTACAAAGGTCCAGAAGAGCAGATTCCTCAACTATCTTGTTCACACTTCATTCTAAGCGCTTAGTACAGGCAGTGGCAAGCACAGAATAAGTTCTCAGTAATATCTGAATAAACAATAACTAAAAATCCCTAACATATTGCCTTGCACTGGCACTCAGTAAATGGTGTTACTATTATTCTTTCAACAACTTGCCTAACTGGTTTCCAATTTCTCACTATATTAATCACTCTCTTATGGTGTCGAAATTAGCCCTTTTACTATTCTTAAGATTATTCTTATGATGTGTGCTAATACTGCATTCTCTTGCTTTTACATTCAAGAGTCCACTGGGGGAAAAGCTAGTCTACCTGCCTAAAGTGTTGGCACTGACAAACCCACTGAATTTCTTCCAATACCACTGTTTAAACCTTAGGGAATGAGGGCCTCCCCGGTGGCACAGCGGTTGAGCGCTGGGTTGCGAAGCTGCCTGCAGCCTCTGCAGCACCAGTTCGATGCCCGGCTGCCGGGCGAGGGTCCCACATGGCGTGACAGACCTCTCCTGCCGCGCCCACTGCTCCCATCAGCAGTGTACTTCGTCAGTCTGCCTGTTCTGTTCCCCGCTCTGGCTCTGGCTCTGGTGACTTCTCTTACCCTCCCGTCCCTCTTTAAAAAAAAAAAAAAAAAAAAAAAAACCTTAGGGAACGTATCCTTAAAACAAAAATATCAGCAAGGACTGATGAGCCGGTTAAGAGAAGAACCAGGATAGTTAAGTATTAGGAAAAGCCACTGTGATCAGTGCTAAGTCTTAGTACTGCACCTTATAAACAGTCCAAAGTGCTGCTCACCTATTCACTTACTAGCCTCCTCATCTACAGTATACTTCTTGATCTTCAGAACGGCAGGACCCTAAAAAGTTCACCCACCATTCATCATACTGCTGGGAAGCTCTTTAAATACTGTTGAATGATTGAATGAGTGAAGACAAAACAGTGAAGTTCAAGGAAGATGCTAGAGTGAACAGATGGACAGCTTCCTAATAGAAGAGTGTAAGGGTTTCCATCCTTGTATTTGGGGCAATGGATTCAGATTAAAGAAGCTGGGATTGAGTGCAACAATAAAATGACAAGTGAACCTTTGGAAACATTGGGAAAGCAGTGGAAATTCATTTAATAATTTGCATAGTAAGGTTTAGGTCTTTGTTATTTTTAGTGTGATTGAGATTGCAGTCTAGATATTCCTGAGGGGAGTGAAGGAGGGAGATGGGAGAAGGAAGTTGGTTAAGTGTTAAGGAAATATTAGAAGGATGTGTTGGGACGTAGGTTGTAGGATAAGCTGGGATAAACACAAGCATTTCTATTACACCAGTAGAAGCAAAGGGAAGAGTCAGAAGTGGAGACAGGTAGCCTGCAAAGAATCTCAAATTACCAGTCTTCAAGTAAGGGACACTGGGGAGCTTCAAGTAAGGGACTTGCGGAAAGCAGAGTGCTTTTGTTAGGGGGAAAAGGATGTCCTAAAGCTAATTCCATACAGGCTTTGTGGACTCCACCCCCACCCCAGGTCAAAGCCAAAGACACTGGGAACTCCAAATCCCATCACCACCAAAGGGAAGGTGGCTGGGACCTGAGGGTGGGGTTAAGCAGCCAGGTGGATAGAAAAGGCAGACACGTGGGCTTTGGGGTCCCCCATTTTGGCTCTCCACCAGCTCTCACCGTCCGGCCAGCTCTGAGAGGGACTTCGGGTTTCCAGGTCAGCGGATCGGATAGGACGCATTAAAGACTTTATTTCCCTATTTTCTCTCTAAGTTGTACGTTTTCCTTATTTCCTTTTCCCTTGTAAATAAACCTTTTATTAACCTTTTGTGTGTGCCTGTAGTGGAGTATTTAGGCGCGCGGGTGAGGACCCACAGCCAGGCAACCCGTTCAATATCGGGGTTGCCCTGTAACACTTTGGATCCTTGGATAGAAAGGAATACACCAAGATCAAAGAATCTAGATTCCGGGGGGAGGATGAGTCTATTAGCTCAGCTTTGTGACATCTAAGGGAAAAAAAAATCTCTTTCAAGCCCCACCCTACACCCATCCCTCGGCCCACCACACCAAAACACGGCGTGAAAGCAAAGCCGAACTTTTCCTCTGTGCCAGGCTGTAGGAGCAAGACGTCTACGCCTTGGCATTTGCCTATTTCCACGAAAATACATCCTTCTAAAAACAAGACTGCGGGTGCACCAGGGAGGATTTTAAAGGCCTTGTTCACAAGCTCATTTGGGGGGGGGGGCTGCAGGGGGTGCAGCTGCACGGCGGGCGGGACCCCTCCGAGGCCTCAGGCGCTGCCCAGCGCCCTCCTCAGCAGGTCCAGTTTAGCCCCGGGGGTCGGGTACGGGGAGAACCTGGCCTCCCGGCCACGTCCATCCGGGCCCCTTCCCGTCAACACACGGGCCGCGCTCCGACCGCCGCCGCCGGTCGCCCGACGACTCTCGGGCTGAAGGCTCGGCCGCGCCGCCTGCCGAGAAGCCGGTCCCGGGGACGGTGCCGCGGGCCCGCCCACCGCGCCGCAGTCGCCCGAGGCCCTCGCCAGCGCGGAGGCCGGAGGGCCGAGGCCGCCGCGGCCGGAGCGGTAGGCCCCCCAGGTCCGCTGGTCGCCGGCGGACAGCGCCACGTAGTTCTGGGCCATCTTCAGACACCGGCCGCGGTGTCCGCGCGCGCGTCCCGCGCCTCAGCGCAGGCGACTCCAGACGCCGACACGGCCGGCTGCGGAAGCCATCACAGCACTCTCGCGTGCGCCTGCGCAGTCGGCCCGCGCACGTCGACGCCGGCGGGAGCGCGCGGGAGGGACGCTGACGTACGTGACCCCTGACGCGCAAGGACGTGGGTTTCCGAGCGTGCGCAGTAGGGGCGTCGGGGACGACCCTGCGGCTGAAGTAGGAAGGGGCGACGCTGAGATGGGGGCCGCTGCGGCCGAAGCGGATCGCACCCTTTTTGTGGGCAACCTGGAAACGAAGGTGACAGAGGAGCTGCTTTTCGAGCTTTTCCACCAGGTGCGCGGCTGGGGGCTCCTGGGTCTGTCGTTTTCCGGCTGGCGAGCTTGACGGGGCGGGCCGGGCACCCACAGGTGGGCCGCTCGGGGCCAAAGGTCGCGTTTAGGAAGTGAGCCGCTCGCGGGGTGTCGCTCTCGGAGGTGACGCCGGGGTGGCTGTCGCCCCAGTGGCGGCCCAGGATGGAGGGGGGATCCTCCCGCCAGCGTCCTGGGGTGAAGATTCGGGGCTCCTAAGGGACGTAGGACGCGGGGGTTCCTCGTTGAGCAGCGCTGGTTTCCTTTTCCTCTTTTTTCTAATTTTCCCCTCAGAACACTTCGCCTTTGGTTCTTTGTAATAGAGTTAGAAACACTCCGTAGAAGCAGCAGCGCTGTCGTGTTTCTGCATTAAAATGTCTCAAAAATTTTAAGATTCCCCAAAAAGGAAAACCATGCCATTTGCAGCACCATGGATGGGGCTGGAAGGGATCATGCTCGGTGAAATAAGCCAGAAAGAAAAAGAAAAATACCGGCTGGTCTCACTCGTAGCAGGGATTTAGAAAACCTGAATAAGGGACCAGGGAAAAGATTAATTATAATAAAGTAAAAATCAAAATCAACAAGCAACTGTAAAGTAGAGACATACTACAGCGGGGGAGGAGGGAGTAGGATCCAAACAAGGAGGGTGGGAATTGTAAGGGGACTGTAACCAAGATGAAAGTGCATACATTGTGCAAAAAGGAAAAAGTAAAAATATAGAAAAGAAAATAAAAATGCTAAAAAAATAAAAATTTAAAAAGAAGTAAAAAAAAAAAATTCAAAGTTCCCCACCCCCACCTCCAGTTCTATCAAGCGATGTTTGATTAATTCATTTTTAAAAAGTGTATTTTTAGTCCCAAGGAAACCAAACCACTTTCTGTTGGTCTTGATAATGACGTGGGGAAAATGATCGTTCCATTGTTAACAAAAGTTCATAAAGTGCGGCGGAATGTAAATTTAATGATGGTGTTTCCAAGTAATCTAATTGTCTCTCAAAACGATGGGATCTTTAGCAGAGATGGAAATCTATCTGTATCCATTTTTGGAAGTTCCATTTTTTGAAATTGCCTTACATTCTGAATACTTTTTTGTTTGCAGGCTGGGCCAGTAATAAAAGTGAAAATTCCAAAAGATAAGGATGGTAAACCAAAGCAGTTTGCATTTGTGAATTTCAAACATGAAGTATCTGTTCCTTATGCGATGAATCTACTTAATGGAATCAAACTTTTTGGAAGGCCTATCAAAATTCAGTTTAGATCGGGTAATTATTTAACGATATTGTTTGGGGAAAGGGGATACTTGATGCTTCGCTGTTAAATTTATTATTCACTTTTAAAGAATCATTTTCTGGATGAAAATACTTTTAGGATTTGTGAATAAATTTTACACATCCCTCAAATGACAATACAATTTTCAAAGTTGTAATTTTAAAATTGGATTTAAAGTTGCAAAATTGGATTTAAAGTTGGGTCAGTGAAAAGAATATAAACTTTATCGTTAGCAAGACTTTGGGTGTGGGTTTTCAGAAAGGAGCAAGGATTATTTTCTGAAAATAGGTTTCCTGGCTTTGTGATTTACAAATTTTGATTCATGATCATGTGAGGATGAAACTTAATATATATCTAGTCTTACACTTCAGTGTGGGGATCAGGATATTATAGTCATAATGATATTTGTAAATTTCATATTAACTTTTTGGGACTGTTTGTTTTGATAAATCTGGTATTCACTTTTCACTCTGATGAAGCTAAAGCTGTTTATTGAATGTGAGGTTTTTTTTTTTTTTTTAAGCCTGTGTCTGTCTTTTTGGAATGATTTGGGGTGTGGGAAATATTTAAAATGAAATTTTTCTATCAAAAATTTTTGAATTATTTTATTTTAGGAAGTAGCCATGCATCACAGGATGTCAGTATGTCTTATTCCCAACATCATGTTGGAAATTCAAGCCCTACCTCCACATCTCCCAGCAGGTAGTATTACCTATTATTAAAATAATTTGGGGGGAATTTTTTTAAGTGTATTGATGGCAAATACATAATGAATGATTAGTTTATACTCTTAACCTCTTCTGCTTTTTCTGTTTGCTATGTTGGGGATATAGAAATAGTTATGTATATCTCTATTTTAAGGGAACTGTAGTTTATAGTTATTCAAATAGATTCTTAGTAACTGTATGTTCACTTGTAAAAACCAATATTCCCACCTACCTTATTTATATTATAACAAAAAAAAGTTCTCAGAACATTGCTTCCCCTTACTACTTGGCAGTACACTTTATTTTCTATTTTATCTTTCTAAAATTCAAATTAGTTTTATGGCTACTAATTGGTTGTTATTTGCAGTTTAAAAATACCAATTAGTAAACAGATTACTGGACTGTTGCTAGAATTGGATTGTAGATCTGCTTCTACCAGTTGTGTAATCGAGCTAATCTCATTTCTGATCCTATCCTTCCATTTATAAGGAAAAGAAGTTGAATGAGCTCTAAATCTCATCTAGCTGCTAAAGGTTAGAAAAGATACTATATTTACTTAATAAGATTATTTGCTGTGGGGGAGCTGACATTTTACCAGTTCAGTTTTCCCGTGATGTATCTATACAGCTAATAGTCATAATGGGCTTCGTTCAAGAAAAAGTTAGCAAATACATCTCATAGCACTAGGTTTTTGACCAAGCCCTTTACATTTATGATCTCATTTATTCCTCATAGCAGTTTTATGATGTAGGGGTCATTATCTCTCCCTTTTATGTGAAGAAAATGAGTGGAGGTTAACTGACTACTCAAAGTAGTGGGCTGGGAGTTATGATCAAGCCCAGTGACTATAATGTGCTGCTTAGTGGAGCTTAAAGTCTGGGTAAAGACACATTGAGAAGGAGTAGAAAGTGCTTGGAGACCTTTTTAAAATGAATACGGAACTAAAAGAAGCCATTTTACCTAAATCATAAGAAATGAAAGATGGATATTGGTGAATTAGATAAAGCAGATAAAGCAGGATGTTCTTAGAAGCGATAATTGGAATTTAGGGATTTTACCCTGAAAACAGTAGGGTCATTTCAACATTTGTTGAAATGTTTTCAGTAGGGATTAGTGATAGTACTGGGTTTTGTATTTTAAAGTTGTATGTTGCAGGAGGGAAGTGGATTGGAGGGGACAAGAGTGAAAATATAAAGGTCAATAAGGAAACTATTGGTAGCAAGCTTAATATTGGTATTAGTAGCAAGATTGCAAAGTAGATGGTAGTTTGGATTAGGGCTGTCAAGAGCAGGAGAGAAGTAGATGGATGTGAACACATATTGGATGGTGAAGTTATAAGCAAGCAGTAATAACAAAGGTTACCCTCTTAATATTCTTCCTGCTAAAAGTATATTTATACATTTCTCAGTCAGTATCTACCCACTTTTATAGAACCTTCAAAGGTACCTTAGAAGGAAAACATGTTTTATCTCCCCCCCACTTTGAATTTCTTGAGGAAAAAGATATGTAATAGTTTATTTTTTATAAGTAAAATTGCTTTTTTACTCCCTTAATATATACCTTCATAACCTGTTTAAGAAATCCCAAAATAAAAAGATCTGAACTGTAAGACAAGTTCATTTGTCTTACAGTTATTTGGTTCCAAAGACGTGTTTTAAAATAAAGTTTAAGCATTTTCTAAGGGCTTTTCTCTAGAGCAAGTTAACATACTTAGGAAGTGAAGAATAAAGTATATGGCCTTAAAATGAATATCCTGTGTATGTTACAGAACTCTTAACTCTCCAAAATGTATTTCTTACTCTCCAAAATGTATTTCTCTTTCCTATGCCAGTAAATGTCTACCTAATTGGTCAAGCCAGAAATCTAGATTCAATCTTTTGTTGGTTGAAGGATATACTTCTCTTTCCTTCATTGTTCATATCCAATCAATCAAATCCCTTTCATTATAGTTCTCAATCTGGTCTTTGCACTAGTCCAAAGAGTCACACATACACCCATATATATATTAAACTTTGCCGGCCATATTGTTTCTTTCTCTGCCATTGTGGCACTACAATAAATGACAGAGAAATCGCGTGCTTATGTTCTGATGAAACGGTTTATTAAAACTGGAATTGAACCACAGGTTATGGTTTGCCACCTCTGCACTAGTCCTTCCCTCAGCTGGAATGCGTCCAAGTAATCTCTCACTTAGGTTGTCTTATCAGAAAAGTTATCTCTGACCGGCCAGGCTACAATAGAACCTTCCTTTCTACTGGCTCATTAGAACTTTTTTTATTTTTTAAAGATTTATTTATTAATGCATACAAGAACTAGGGTACAGGCCAGAGGTGAGGGGGTGAGAGGATTCACCAGAGACAGAGTGGGGAACAGAACAGGTGTATCTACTGAAACACACTGCTGAGGGGAGCAGCAGGGAGACAGGAGAGGTCTGCTGCGTCATGTGGGTTGCTCCCTGGCCAGGGATCGAACTCGTGCTGCAGTGGCTGCGGATAGCTTCATAGGTTGCGTCTTAACCCCTTGCCCCACCAGGGAGGCCCTCTTTAGTCCTTCTTTATATCATTTATCACCATGTGAAATGGTCTGTAGTCTTACCCCAGCCCCATGCGAGCAAGTGCCTTTTCTGTCTTGTTCACTCCAACCTTTGAGAACAGTGTCTTGCTTATAATTGACTTGTAATAAATATTGGCTGAGTATACATTGGTTGTCTTGTTTTTTGCAGATATGAAAGAATTGTGGATAACATGACTCCATCAACACAGATAATTCAGAGATCTTTCTCATCTCCAGAAAATTTTCAGAGACAAGCAGTGGTAGGCTGATTTTTCCACTTCAGTTGCTTAAAAAAAAACAAAAACAAAAAGTTGGTTAAAATTTAAAATTAATTTACTAAAATTTACTTAGATTAGCATAATCTTCCTAAGTTGATCATGCAGTTTTAATTTTCACCAAACTGAAACATTTAAAAAGATTGAAGATAAATAGAAGAACTGCAATTTACATTTGTATTTTTCCTCAGCAATTGTTGGACTGTGTGTTTTTCAAAAACTGAAAATTCAATCTCTGGTATTTTTGTAACCTATGCTGAGTGATCTTATAAACTCTCATTAATAGTTAATATTAGTACTTTAATATACTGTAGTCTTCTAGGTCAGCTTCCTCTTAAACTTTCTGTATCTCCGTAACGGTAGTACCATGAGACTACTCTTAAAATCTTAAGTATCTTTTTTTTACTGTTTCATTTTTTTCTCCAAAATGATTTACCAAGTCTTCCTTTTTTTTTCTTTTTCTTATATTTATTTATTCTTTTTTTTAATCTTTGCCCAAATCACAGTCTTCACTTACGGTCCTTTGGCTTTTATATTTCATGGGTTTCAAGATAAGAACATAATGGTGAAATAAAGTAAAATTGACATGCCAATACAAAGGGATGCCACATACTACTTATTTTTCTCAATTTATTGCAGGCTATTCAGAAATCATTATTGGCTAGTATCTGTCTATAGACAGAATTTGGAAACCAATAGTAATTAGTATCTCCATCTTACACACTTTCATAATTACCATTATATTTGTTTAATGTTTAATTATAACCTTGGTTTACTTATATTCCTGACTTTCTGTTGTTTGCAAAATAGAATTCTCTAACTTGATTATTAGGCTACCTGTGGTCTGGTTCCAGTATACCTTTTTAGCTCTATCATCCATTCTTCACTACTTAGATCTAACATCTGTCTCAGCTAAGGTTATACTATTCTATGAACCTCTTCTGTGTTTCCTTATTAATGCGCCTTCATGAAGCCTTTCCTAATGATACGGAGCTCCTGACTATATCTGTTCATCATACCGTGATTCACATCATTTTTTATGATTTCTTCCTTTCTAAGCTTTGTTCTTGGGAGTAAGGAGTTATATATAAATATCTTATAGATGTACAGTGACATGAAAGAAACTATTGTTTTGTACAAATTTCAATTATGTTTAATTTCAGACTCATTTTGAGAATGGTCATTTGATAATTGACTTTGCTTTTCCTTTTTTAATGTTTGGTTAACTGTGAGAAAATATCTGTTGACTTTGAGCTCTAGAAATATCAAGCATTTCCTTCTTTTTCTCTTCCTTCAGATGAACAGTGTTTTGAGGCAGATGTCATATGGTGGAAAATTTGGTTCTCCACTTCTGGATCCATCAGGATTTTCCCCATCAGTTCAGTCACATAATCATACTTTTAACCAGTCCTCAAGCTCCCAGTGGCGCCAAGATACACCATCATCCCAGCATAAAGTCAGACAGAATTCTCATCCCTATGTAGGGGATAGACATCATGGCCGTGAACGGTACGCTGATCATGGGTCTGACCATCATTACAGAGGAAGCAGAGATGATTTCTTCTATGAAGATAGGAATCATGATGGCTGGAGCCATGATGATAATAGAAGAGACAGTAGTAGAGATGGAAAATGGCGTTCCTCTCGCCACTAACATCTGTGGAAAGGACATTTGTATAGGGTCATTCTAGCCCCTGTTGGCTAAGTTGGTTTGGAAATGTTTTGAAAAACTGTACAGAGCAATTTTTCAAGTTTGCCACATTTCTTTATTAAGAAAAACCTTACAGCTTAGTATAATACAGAAATGAGAAGAATTGTGGTTACACTTTTACTACATTAATAACCTTTCACCTCAGGGCTGTATGAAGTGGAAAGGGTTTTATGCAAAGGAAATTTTGCTAAACATTTTAAACAATTGAGGAAGGGATATATTGTATGAGTTGGTTGTATTATAAAGCAAATATTTTAATTGTTATCTTTTTGTATTGCAAGAAAGTTCTTGGTCAGATTTTGGTGTACATAATAGAGAACATTCAAATTGTTAGTCTTAACGGACTATCAGTATTTTGTTAATAAGTGAGCAAATGTATTTTCAGTGATTCATTTGGTGACATTTTATTTATGAAAACTTGTCAGTAAAATCTGGGTATAAATAATATATATTGTTTAACTTAGAAAATTAATTGTAAGTTCTGTGACATACTCTTTTTGAGTTTTACCCTAATTGAAGATACAAATGTAAGTCTACACATGCCATTTCATGATAAAATTTTAAAATTTGTTCATTAAATCATGTTTGATGTAAGAATGAAGTCACTCAGGAAGTTAAATATCTCTAAATCTATTTTTTTACATTAAAAACACAGTGTAACGTCCCCCTTTTCAGGAAGAACAAAAATTCATAGATAAAATAGTAAAATGTTTTACTGAAAGTATACCTTTTTTGGGAAAAAGGTTTCTTCATATAGGTAAAAAGGTTCTTGAAGACCGTTGAGTGCTGCCTCTGTTGTTCAAACTTTAAAAGTTTTAACATTTTCTAAGCTTAGAACATGTATATAAGGACACATTTTACTATGGCGATTGTACAGGTTGCTTTTTTGTTTAAACCTTTGAAAGAATTAAAACTTTTTCTGATTCACTTTTATCTATCAAGATACTGTTTCCCTTTCATTATAAAAGTTGTGTGTGAAAGTTCACTCCTTGAAAAACTGGAATTCTTTTTAACATTAATCACAACATTTGTACTATGTTGCTTTCTAATATACTGAAAACTTAGAGGTGGGGAGAGGTGACTTATTTTTTTTGACATCACTAATGAAATATTGAACACAATTAACTACATACTTTTTATAGTATGTTAATATTTAGAGCATCCTAAAATGTAACTTTTGTACATATATATTTGAGAATCAAAATTTGAGTGATGGATTATAGTTCTCTAGGTAGATGGAGTTATCTGCTCAACATAGAATTAAGTTAAATTTGTTTGCTTAAGCAGTTTAATAATGGAAGGATTTGTTTCCAGGCAACTTACTTATGTGAGAACTTTCTTCTGGTAGCATTTGTAGATAGCACAGAGATTAATACCCCTGTAGTGCAGCTTATCTGTGAGTGATCCGTTCATATTAATTCACAAGTGATCCTGGTTCAGATTAGTTTTCTTTTTAAGTGGCTTTCCGGTAATCAAACTTTTGTTACATACTGTATACTACCTGACATTGACTTTCTCTTAGAGGGTGACAACAGCAGCATTAAATTGCTCACAAGTACTACATTAAAGAAAGTGGTTTTTGTTTAACCTAGTATGTTACAAACTTGACCTTTATTTTTTTCTTTTATACATAGCTCAGAACTTGGGACTATTTGGCTCTATCCTCCCTTATACTAACTGCCCGCATCTTAGAACCGGTGATCAACTAGTCGGGATCAGTACAATAGCATCCTGACATTTCAGTGCCAGTTTATTCCCATAATACCCTATATTTCTCTTGTCATTAACATCTGTGCTGTATCACTTATTTCTTAAGAACTTCATGAAGACAGGGACCATATCTTATTTACAATTTGAATTCCTGGTACCCAGTGCCTGGTATATAAATACTTGGTAATTTTTGATGAATGAACAAAGGAATATTTGTCAAAAATTTCAATGAAGGAGACTTCATATAAAATTTAAAGTAGGTTTCCTAACCCTCAACCATCTTACCATCCAATTAAAGAACTACATACATTTTGCCTTTAATACTTAAATTTTATTTAAGAAGTTTTGCATCTATCTGGGTCTTAAAAGTAATTCTTTTTTTTTTTTTTAAGATTATTTATTTATATGAGCACTGGGTACAGTCAGAAGTGCGGGAGGGTGAGAGAATTCACCAGAGCCAGAGAGGGGAACAGAACAGGCAGAAGGACCGAGGTACACTGCTGAGGGGAGGAGCGGGCGGCAGGAGAGGTCTGCGCGCCATGTGGGACCCTCCTCCTGTGGCCGTGGAGCAGCCGGGAATCGAGCCAGCGCTGCAGAGGCTGCGGGCAGCTTCGCAATCCAGCGCTCAACTGCTGCGCCACCGGGGAGGCCCTTAAAAGTAATTCTTTGATTCCCTTCTCAATTTCCTTTATAGTTACTGATCTATTCATGCATCAATATGGATATTTTCAATTTTTCAAAAATAACCCATTTTCTCTATCCAAATTACTTGATAAATTGTGCTTAGTTTTTACTGATTTTTTATGACTAGTCCAGTTTTAGTTCCTGGTATATTTTATCTTCCCTCCTACAGCCAGGTCAGACTTGCAAGAGACTATACTGTTATACAATACTGTTAAATGTATTTTACATTTACATATTTAAGCCCTGCCACATGTTACTTTTTGTTAAGACAGATTCTCTTTGAAGGAAGTTTAAATGAAAAAAAGAAATCTTAAATTTTTCTAAGAGTTTCCATTTCTGGAGTTCTTCCTTTGTAGTTGCAGTTATCTATTTATCTGGTACTCTGCTTGAACAACTTTTTGATATTTCTTTTTATTTTATATTTATGTATACAAGAATTGGGGTGTAGGCCAGAGGTGCAGGGGGTGAGAGAATTCACTAGAGACAGAGTAGGGAGCAGAACAGGTGAATCTACCGAAATACACTGCTGAGGGGAGCAGTGGGCACTCCAGGAGTGGTCTGCTGTGCCATGTGGGTCAGCTCCCTGGCTGGGGATTGAACTCAGGCTATGCCACGCTGCAGTAGCTTGCCAGAGCTTGGATAGTGCTGATGGGAGTTTTGCCCTTGCGCCACCAGGGAGGCCCTCCTTGATATTTCTTACAGTGCAGGCTTGCTGGTACTTCATTTAGTTTTTATATATCTGAAAAAGAATCTCACCTTTCTTGTTTGAAATATATTTTTGCTGCATATTGAGTTCTAAACTAACATTTTTTTCTTTCAGTTCTTTAAATAAGTGACTGCACTGTCCTCTTCATTGTTTCCTTTAAGAAATCTGTCATGTAGATAGATAATGTATCACTTTTCTCTGTCTTTGAGCAATTTGATTATAATGTGTCTTTAGTCAAGTTTTCTTTGTGTTCCTTTTGCTTGGGGTTCATTGAGCTGCATGAATCTGGGAAATTTGGGAACATTTTGGTCATTAAAAATTTGTTTTTGTCCCCACTCCCCCACCTTTGAAACTTCCATTGAACTCTTCAATTATAAGACTACTTGGTGTTACTCTGCAGCTCACTGATGTGCTGTTTGTTTTTCTCAACTATTTTTTTTTCTTTTTTCTTTTTCATTTTGTTACTATGTCTTGAAGTTCACTAACCTTTTTTTCCTGCAATGACTAATCAGCAATTAATTCCAAATAATCTTTTATTCTACGTAACAAAGTTGTAGACATTTAATTTAGATTTCTTTCTGATTCTTATTTTCAGCTTTATTGAGATATAATTGACAAAATTGTAGCTATTTAAAGTGTGCAACATGTATTGGTATACATACTTTGTAAAAGGATTCTCCCTGTTGAGTTAACACATCATTTGGATCTTTTTATATCTTCACTAGCTCTACTTAAAATTTGGAATTTTTAATGTCCTTTTCTGCTAATTCTAGTATCTTTGTTACTTTCTGGATTGGCTTCAATTTGTCCACTCATTGGTTGTATTTCCTGCTGCTTTGCATGCCTTATAATTTTGATTGGATACTGGGCTTTGTAAATTTTACAATTGGATGCTGATAATTTTTGTATGTCTGTAAACATTTTTGCAATTTGTTTTGGGACACAGTCACGGAAAGAGTGTCCCTTCAGAACTTGCTGTTAAGATTTCTTAGGCAAGATTTCAGATGCATGCAGTGTTAATTCGTCCCATTGCTGAGACATGACTTATCGGTAGCTTATAAATCAGGAAGTTTTTGAGTCTGGATAGAGGGAAGAGAATTTTTTCCTGCTTCTACATGAGTGCTGGGTAGTTCTCCATATAATTCTCTGGGGCAATTCTCTGCCAGCCTTGGGCAGTGTCTTCAAGCCTGTGATCCGTACTCATGAATAATAGAGGAAACCTGCAGATCTCTGGGAATTTACTCTGTGCAGCTTAACCTTCTTTAGTGCTGTGTACGTGGATATTCTAGGTGCTTTGGTTTCCCTAGATGCTCAGCTTTATCTCCCCAAGTTTGGAAGCTTGCCAGGCTCTCACTGGCTAGCTACTCAACCAAATTGCACCTGGAAGTCCCATCAAGTGGTAGCAATTGTAGGGCTCATCTCAATTGATTTCTGTTTCACAAGGAGCACTGTCCTTTCTATCTGATGTCCATTGTCTTGTTTCATACATTTTGTCTGTGTCTTGTTTGAGTTAGGAAAGACATCTAAATCTTTGTTATTACATCTGTCTTGACTGAGTTAATCTCTGGGTTTTGATATGTAGTGCACTACTCACCGTTCTCCATTTTAAATGGTTGGTATTTTTAGGTCTTCTCTCTAATTTTGACTCTTTTTGTTTCTAAATACGTTTTCTTCTTCTATTGTAACTTCTAATTGTCTTCGGGACGGAGTATATGACATATAATAGAGTCATGTAGAGAAAAACTACATCATTAGCTGGATTATCATAGGAGTTTTCTAGGTTGCTTAGCAATGAGTTAGCAGGGCTGGACTCATGGCCAACCACACCTCTGCAGAGGGCGCTGAAGTAATCTGGAATCACATCCATCCCTCACAGGCCCTCCTCCCGCTACTGCACTAGGTGACTGGCGGCATGGTTTTTACCCCAGAATTTCCCCCATATTTTATGATGGTTTCTTAGATATTAACAAACACTTGTTTTCTCTGTTTGAAATTTGTTTCTACAAAATGCTGCCTTCATTGATGAGATTTGTAAATCAAAAAAGAATGATCACTTTTAAAAGATTAAAATGTATGTATTTTAATTTAATGCACATAAATATACATTCATTTGTCAATCTTTGGAGGCAAAGCCAGGACTTTTTCTTAAATCTAAGTACACTGGAATTCAGTGGATTTTCTTGTATTAATCATTACCAGATTGCATTGCCTATGATTTTCCATTTGGGGCTTCTCTATAATGGAATGCAAATGTAGAGAAACTTGTGAAGTATTAAAGTTTTCTAGCATTCACATCCAGTTTTTGTTTTTACAGTTGTCTGAGTCACCCTGAATCTAACAGCAAATTTCCTATAGTGATTTTTCTTTATGAATCTTTACAAAGTATTCAACTAATGTTAAAGTCTATTTTTCACATTTACATTTCATTGGTTTATACAAAATTTAAATTAAGAACTTTTATTAAGAAACAAGCAGGGGGGCCTCCCCGGTGGCGCAGCAGTTGAGCGCTGGGTTGCGAAGCTGCCCGCAGCCTCTGCTGCGCTGGTTCGATCCCCAGTTGCTCCCCGGCTGCAGGGGGAGGGTCCCACATGGCCCACAGACCTCTCCTGCCGCCCGCTGCTCCCCTCAGCAGTGTACTTTACTTCGGTCCTTCTGCCTGCTCTGCTCCCCGCTCTGGCTCTGCTGAATTCTCTCACCCTCCCGCGCTTCTGACTGTACCCAGTGCTTGTATAAATAAATAAATTAATTAATTTAAAAAAATGAACAATGATGTAAAAAATGTATAAATAAAAAAAAAGAAGAAAGAAACAAGCAGGGGCCTCCCTGGTGGCACAAGGGGTTAAGATGCTGCCTATGAAGCTAACCACAGCCACTGTAGCACAAGTTCAATCCCCGGGCAGGGAGCAACCCACATGGCACAGCAGACCTCTCCAGACTCACCTGCTGCTCCCCTCAGCAGTGTATTTCAGTCAATACGCCTGTTCTGTCCCCCACACTGTCTCTGGTGAATCCTCTTACCCCCCACACCTCTGGCCTGTACCCCTGTTCTTGTATGCATAGATAAATAAATCTTTGAAAAAGAAAAAGAAAAAAAAGAAACAAGCATAAGGAGGATTGAAATAATTTAATTGATGTGAGCAAGAGTGGGTGAGCATATGAGAGTGACTTCTAATCCAGTCTTCAACAAGTAAAAGACATTGACATTATAGAAAGAACAGAAAGCATCAGGTGAGATTGAGGGGTTAAAAGTGCTTCCAATGTGGTAGCTAAGAACTGCCTGTTAATAATATTTTTCAAATGCCTACACACACACACACACATTTTATCTCAGTTCTGAAAGAAGTGATTTTAGTTCACTAATTTGTCTGATTATGTCTTAAGTTTTTGCTTCCTGTATCCTGAAGTTATACTAGATGCAAAGGTGAGTATAACATTTTACCATGTAATATAACATCAAATTATATGCCCTTGACCCATTTTCATACTACTGACTTTGAATTCTATTTTGCTTTATATTGCTGTTTTTGCATATTTGCCTGCCATGTCTTTGTTGGTTAATTTTTAATACTTCTATGACACTTGATTTTAGGAGTGCCTCTTGAGAGAGATTTTCATTGATTTCTGCTTTAGTACCTCGTGTGTGTATGTATAAGATTAATTACCTCTTCTTTGTTCTTTTTTTTTTTCCTTTTGTGCAACATTTCATCACCTATGAACCTTTCAAAAAACAATTCCCAGAATTCCAGGGAAGGAGTGTGGTATCAGTATTTTTAAAAAGATACTAATATATAGTCAGGGATGAAAACCCTAGTGTCATATGATTTCTAGTTCTCAACAATCACATCTGCACTTTTAGTTTTCTATCAATGGGTAGACAGTTTGACAGTTTGACCAGTCAAGGTAAAA